CTTATTCGATATATTTTTAAATCCAAAAATTGGTTATTCAACATATTTTTTTGAAAGTGCTAACTAGTTAATTAATAAAGACTTTATTAGATATGTTATAGGATCAAATTTGATTTTTTTTACCATTTATCCTTTGGGAAAAATATTTTTTATTGACAATTTAAAAAGTGGCTGGCCTTAATCTACTTGCATTTCCATAAAATTTATGGTTATAAATGAGAGCACAAAAATAATGATAGATGTTGTTTGGAAAGTTTAGATGAGTAATGTCAGTAATTTGGAGCATTACTAAAGTGATCTTAGTACATAATTATTTATTATTCTTTTGATTATTCCTGAGTTGAAATAGATTTATAATTCTTTTATTCCACTTTTTGTTGATGGAAATAATGATTAGTACCTGTCTTATGGGATTAATATTAAAAGGATAATTATTCTACAATGACAGTACCTACAACTCATTCTCATGGTTGATGAGACACCCCTTGTGGACAACCCAACCCCATATGGGAAACTAGACACCTTATATGCTATCATTTATCTTAATAAATGGCAATAAAGCCAATATTACTTTTAGAAGATATTGAATATTTTTTTATAATATTTTAAAAAATTAATACGTATCAAATGGAATCTTCTCATCAAACCTTACATCTTCCATCATCTAAACATATGTTCCTTGAAGCCTAAAACATACAATTTCAACTCCCCTAGGTTTGAAATGATGAATGAAGCATGAAATAGATTGCTTAGATAAATAGGAGGAGCTTTATATGAGTTTGTGGGGTCATAAGTGGATCAAGCTAACATGGCAACAGATGTGGTTTTAGCTTAGTTTGACTTTTGAAAGTCATACATCAACTTCATTTTCCTTGGGATTGTTCTTTTTTCACATCCATGTGGAGATCTATCTTGGCCAAAGACATTGGTCGGACTCCTTTCTCCTCATTTGAATTAAAATCCTAATATACTATAGAACTTATGAATTATTTATTGAGAATACAGACGGATAGACTTAGATAAATATGCATAGATCAATAATAAAACAAGAAGGAAGCTACTTTATTGATTATGTTTCATATATTTTGTTCTTATCATTCCCTTTCACTGTATTACAAAAAAGAAATATATTTTTTTATAATTTAATGTAAATTATGAGATCTACGATCTAATTAGTTGATCCATCGAGTCGACCAATAATTCATTGATAGAGATTAGACGGGGTCAATGTCCGATTCGTTTTCGATAAGTCTGCTTTGGACTCACTAATGGCATAGGGGGGAGGAAACAGCACACGGGGCCACTAAGTGCAAATGATAAGGATCATGAGGTCTACCTTCGATTCCTTTCCGCGTTGGTGGACTTCCTTCTGATCTCCACTTCCGCGGGTTGAATGGCCAATTATTAATCCCAATGACTGCTCATTTCCTCTTTCTCGCTCTTGTTCACACACTCCCTCTCTCTCTCTCTCGCTCTTCCTTCCCTCCTTTGTGAGGGTTGAAGGGGCACAATCCATGGAGTGCTGTGTGGCTCCGTCAACCTATTGACTTTGAGTCATGAGCTGTGGGGATCCACCGTCCACTCGAACGCAAGTTTCTTCTGAGCTTGTACTTGCCCCGGTCAAAGACAAACAGGTCAACCTATTTCATATATTTATTGATACTCAAGTAAGAAATAGCTCCTCAGGTCGAATTTGTATTGGTTTCAATGGTAAACATTTTGACCTTTTGATAGCAAGATCCTCAAATCGATCCTGTCTTCAAGTATTTAATAATACCTTCATAATAATTCAAACTGGGGGTTATGTTTAATGAATCTGTATTTGCCTAACATGTTTTTGTTAACCTACAAATATTATAAAGTGGGTTAACAACATGCATAAAGAAAAACAATTAATGGAGTTATATTTAACCAAATAATAATAATTATTATTATTATTATATGATAAGGAATGCTATAGAAGTTGGGAAATGTGGAGGAAGGATTCCGTAGAAAAGAGCGTACCCACCACTGATGTCTTCCTTTCCTCTTCATCTATAAAGGAAGAAGCGCCTTGGTTTACTCTCCAAACAAAAGCCAAAGCCAAAAGCCATAGAGAGCAAAGCACTTGGTACCGTCTCCCTTTAGCTCAGCCTTCTTTCCATCTACCGCACTGCACGAAGGGAGAGAGCAGGAAGAGATGATGCAAGAGGACAAGAGGATGAAGGTGAAGAAGGGATCGGTCACCGTGAGAGTCGGCCTCGAAGGCGAAGAAGGCGGCTTCCGGAAGTTCGTGATCCCCATCTCCTACCTCCACCATCCCCTCTTCCAGAGGCTCCTCGAGTCGGCACAGGAGGTGTACGGTTTCTACTCCTCGGGGCCGCTGAAGCTGCCTTGCTCCGTCGACGACTTCCTCCACCTCCGGTGGCGCATCGAGAGGGAGTCGCACCACTCGCATGGCCACCACCGCCAGTCTTTGCATTCATGCTGAGACAAACAAGGGGGAAGACAAATGCTCTCTCTTCTCCCGACACAACATACTCTTTTTGTAACTGCCGATACTGAAGAATCACATGTAGTAACTCCCCATAAGAACATGAATCAAGTCTTCTTGTCTCGTTTGTGTTCCTTCCCTTATTGGAGAACATAATTCAATTTCATCAGCCACTCGTTAGAGAAATCTGCTTGTTGAAGTATTGCTAGATTTACGCTACTGCTAATCTCTCTCTCTCTCTCTCTAGATAAATAAACAAATAGATAAATAAATAAATAAATAAATAAAAGCTTAAATTATCATTACAAAGAGCTCAAAGGTGAAATAATATCGGGATGATAATTACTTGGTGCCATCTCAATAGGTTATCATGTCATGTGTTTGCTCCTTTCCTTTCTGTTGCCATGAAGGATAAATATTAGTATATATGAGAGTGATTGATATAAGAAATGTCCGAATAAGATTCACATAACTAGGAAATATGTGAATGGGTTTTTTCTTTTATAAGATTGATTCCAAATAGCATCGATTAGGCACCTTTTCTTTTCATCAGAAATCAACCAGTCCCAAAGTATCACGTTAAACACATGTTAACCAGATGCCCATCTAGTTGGTGTAGGTTTCCTTTTGATCTATGCTGGAATATATAAAGCAATTACGTAGTGATCGCATTATATACAACTATAATGATGAGCCAAGAGAGTGATAAGAAGCATACAAGAGGTGTGTAGTCTATGAACCCGAGCAATCGAAGACAATGTTTTTGTTATCATAAGAAGGGCATATGAGCACAAGTTATGATCAACCATGTCATATTTCTGTTCTTCTCAAGGGGTTTGATTGATTAAGATATGAAAGCATTTCTGGTGCAAGTCTTCTTCAACAGAGGGTAGGGTTGGGATTGTCATGACACACTCCTTTGTCAGTGGACCACTATTTTATTTGAGATGCCAAAGCATATTTTCCTTCTCTCCATCACTTGTGGATTCTTGGGGTGTTGTGGGGGATCCACCATCCACTGGAAATGGAATTCCTGGGAGCTTGCAAGCATGAAACACATTCCATGCTCGAGTCTGATACGCCCACCATCCGTCTGAGGAATTGCTGAGAGCTGGTAAGCATGCAACACATGCGTCGTCTTTTCTGGTCTGGTGCCTTCTTGTTTGGAAGCTAGACGTCAGAGACGTCGGCCATATACACGGTGGACACCACTACACACCTCTACCTCTTTCTCTGACGCGTTCCTCTCAGCCCTAAACTTTCGTCGTCTTCCAACCATTACATTTTCCTTTCCATGGTTGGTCGGCGGTGGCAACACCGACGTCCAAGTATAGCAGCAACGACAACAACAATAGAAGAGAAAGTGATGGCGATGTTTGGTTCATTCCTATGTCGTGACATAATTGGCGGTTGATTCCAATGTTATAAGTGACAGTTAGGCGATGAACATTAATCACAATGATATATGCGTCATTTTGCCAAAAAATTGAATACAATATAATTTAAAGCTTTCCAAAACCCAAATTAGATGGCTGAGAAAACAAGATGTTCCGGTAGCTCATTTTTTTTTATTGATTGGATTAACTATTTGGAAGCATCAAAGTCAGATGATCGTCTTGATGTGTACATATAAAATAATTTTGGTCAATATTAATGATTTAGATTTTAGTGTGAAACAGGCTAAAACATGTTGGATGTGGCAGTGGACAACACGAAACCTATAAGTTTAATTTTTGATTGGAATAAAAGATCCAATCATCAGTGATTGAGTTATAAAAATAATCTTTCAACATGCAAGAATATATATAAATATATATATATATATATACATATATATATATACATATACATATATATATATACATATACATATATATATATATACATATACATATGTATATATACATATACATATATATATATATATATATACATATATATATATACATATATATATATCCTTGTCAAACCATCTTTATCATTTTACCCCTTGTCTTCACCCCATGGTGGTCGTCTCTATCTAGTCACCTAAGGATTGCACCAATGTCACCCATGCCCTTATTTCCATCATAGTCGTCGACCCCGATGAAAGAGCAAGGACATTATGAAGAAGGAGGTGACTACGATGGAGCTTCCCCTTCCTCGCATCATAGCCCGATTCATTGCCCCTGATTGAGTCCTCATTGATTGATCGGGAAGAGAATAGCTGATGGAGAAAAAGTAAAGGTGGAGGCATAGCTACCAGCTCGATTAAGAGTTAATGGTGTTGAGATTCAACGATTTGTCTCTATTGATGGAAGGGCTGAATCTTAATAATTTCAAGGGAGTGTTTGACGTAACGAAGGCGACGATTGGTAAGGGCACAAGTACAAAGCTATCTTTGGGAGCAAGAGGTGGAGGGTGGTTGGAAGCTAAGGGCACACGCAAAATCTCTTTTTTTAAATAAGAAATATTTACCGTAAAAGTCAATAACTTAAAACTTATTAAATTAAATTAGCAACCTAAAGAATAAAAATCACTAATGAATAACTAACATAACATTTCTTGTACATGATCGAGAATCTACTATCAGTTGACAGGTGGTTATCATTTGAGATCTAAATCAACCTCCACCCATTTGCATGATAAGGAAATACAAACTTCCTTCTTATCCATTATGATAAGGAAGACAATTATAACTTTTCTTTTCATCCATTATAATGAGAAAGACAATCATAAACTCCTTATCAAAAAGATATCTTAAACCCAATGGAAGGGACTCCTTTTGAACTACTCAAACCCACATTTGGGGACCTTGAATACGAACTTAAGCATCAGAGAGATCGGGTCGGGAAATCTCTCTCAACCTTGGTCTTCGTATAGGTAGCCCCTTGGGACATAATGTTTCCACCTTGGAGATACTTCGGACAATCCTACGCTAATGAGTTTAGATCATATCGAGCTAATAAAGATATCAATAATATTTTTATCTAACATTTTGGTACTAAAAGGGGGGCCTAATGACGTAGGAATATCTTCCTGCCAATCCTCTCATTGAATGTCCCAAAGAGGAGGCCCTCTCTTCAACCCATAGCACTTTTAATTGAGGGGCAACTGCTATCCTTTTCACATATGAATATGTCAACTTCAGTGCAGATGCTGATGAGGTATCAACGTCTATTCAATAACCCAGGCCTCTCACCCCTAAGGACGAACTTGAGCCACATGCTCATCCTTATCAATGTGTTCCTAAAGCTCATCCAGTATGTGCGTTTGCTAGTGGGCATGATGTAAGCTCTTATTCTGCTTTTGCCCCAGCTAGCCTAATAGGTAATGCTATCATCTCAACTACGATTAATAGCTCAACTATCACTAGCACCAACGCCCATTGGCACCGGCGGCTAACAGGAGATCCTAACAAGTTCGCAAAGTGATACCATACCTTGATTCATAGATAAGATATCCTTATTTGATTGATGATCCTTCTCGATGGTAGAGGCCAATGACATCAATCGTGACAGCCTACTTAGCCACCATAGCCTTTGAGCTAACGTCAACCAGGACTCCGGAGGTGGTGAAGATGAAAAATCGATCACCCTCACCTAGCTCTTCAAGTGTGTCGGCAACACTCACATCAGCGATGCCGCCAAGAGCGATGGCTATATCTCCCCAAAGCACCATGACCTCAAGCTCAATGACTTCGCCATCAAAGGTGACGTCGATGACCACTTAGCCTTTCGCCTTCATCCCTTTCATCCTTGTCTTCATCGATCTCTCATACAGTATGAAGAAGTATTGAAAGTCATCGCTCTTATTCAAAAACGGCCTCACCATCAACCTCGTCGTCGACCTCGGGCCGCCAAAAGTGATCTCCAGGATCAAGTCATTATTGAATACCATCATTGTCGAGGTGAGTGAAGGGGAGATCTTCGTGATGCTGGGGTGAATGGCTCTGGTAAATCCACCCTGATAGACATTCTCACAAACCATATCATGTGGGAGAGCCTACAAGTCTCCATCATCCTCAATGGTGAGAAGCTCAAGGGGCAACTCCTTGAGGTGATCTCTACTTACATTATGTAAGATGACCTCCTGCACCCCATGCTCACTATGGAAAAGACCTTGATGTTCTCCATAGAAATCTGGCTATCATGGTCAGGAAAACCTAACTCACATAAAGAGAAATCCGCTATGACAGAGCGAAGACCTAAAATCTACCACGACGAAAAGAGAACTCAAAGCTCGCTATGGCGGGAGGATTCGATATCTATTACAATAGAGGAAAGATATGAAGCTCGCCATAGTGGAAGGACCTAAAATCTGCTACAATGGAGAGAGGACATGAAGCCAACCACGAAGGGAGGACTTGAAGCCCGCCTTGGTAGGAGGACCCAAAATCCGCTACGATGGAGGAACAACTTAAAGCCCACCATGGAAGAAGAAAGAAAAATCTACCATGGTGGAGGGATAAGGCCAACATACCCAAGACTCATTAGTCATAAAAACCAAACTTACATGAAGAAATCTGTCATGGTAGAGGCACAATGCCAACATACTCGAGATGCATGAGTTGGGAAAACCCGACCTAGGTGAGAAAAAAATTTACCACGAGGGAGATATAAGGTCAATGTGCAAAAGAAAAGTAAGTTAGGAAAACCTAACCTGCGTGAAGATAAATCTGTTATAACAGAGGTATAAGGTCAAATGTGCTCGAAATATGGAAGTCAAGAAAACATAACCCACGCCAAGATAAATTAGGTACGGTGGAGGCACAAGGCCAAATGTGCCCAAGACATGTAAGTCAAGAAAACTCACCCACACTAAGATAAATCCGCTATAGTAGATGATATATAAGTTGGGAAAATCTTACTCAAGCTAAGAGAAAATTGCTATAACTAAGGCACAATGCCAAATATGCCTAAGATGCATAAGTCGAAAAAACTTGACCCACATAAAAAAAAAATCTACTATGATGGAGGCACAATGCCAAAGGCACTTGAGATGCATAAGTCAGGAAAACCCAACCCATGCCAAGATAAATTTATTATGGCAAAGGCATAAGGCCAAATGCACCATTAACACATAAGGCGGGGAAAACCTGACCCGCGCTAAGATAAATTTGTTATGATAGAGTTGCAAAGCCAAATGCACCCGAGATGCATAAGTCAAGAAAACTCAACCCGTATAAAGAGAAATCACCTACGGTA